GCAAAAAAATGTCACCATTAAGAATAGGCATAGTGGTCTTGAAACGTCATCAACGTCGTGTTTTGATGTACCACTTGCTGCTTCGACCAATCTGTTCTTTATCAAGGTTGATGTCAACCTGTTATCTTTCTTGAATTTTCTTTTAACAAATTTTGTATTTTCCTTACCATGAGATAATGAATCCATGGGATCGTGTCCATCATCAATGCCAAATATTATTTTCACATCACTCCTTCTCAATTTAATGTTCTCTCCACCAATGTGAAATTTAGATTTAGTAACAGCGAAGCACATTATTACATCATGTATGATAGTATCGCTCTTCCTACATCATGTCCTGTCTAATTTTTTATCAATGATACATTCAAATAGTAACCACAATGATGTTTTATTCAAAACAACCTTGTGTGCTTCACTAATGTTAATTTTATCTATTGCTCTAATTATCGCAAGCAAATTTGATCTGTATTTGGCATTTTGCTTTGATTCCACCATTTGTTTTTCCCCATCACAACTATGAGTTGGGAAGTGACAAAGAACAAATTATATAAAGCATACCAAAAGTTTAACTGAAAATATAACAGTATAAACAAATAAGTTAACCAAACAACAGTGTATGATACATTCAAAAGTGAACCAAAAACAGTGTATAACACATTCTAATAAGTGCCAAAAAATAGAGCATAACCAAGTAACTGAACCAATAATAGTGTTACCCTTTTTATGTTACACTTTTCTATATTACAATTTGTTAGTAATACAAATGAACATTAGTGTAAGATAAGACAATATAAAGTGTAAAGTGTAAATTGAAAGTGTAAAGTGTAAAATGTTACCTTATGTCTCACCTTACCTAATGGAAAGTGTAAAGTGTTACAAGTAACATTAAAAGTGTAACACTGTCTCAATTAATGAATATTTAGCGTAAGATGAGACATGTATATTCTGTTTGTGTAGCACTTTAGGTAATGTCTCACCTTACCTAATGGAAAGTGTCAAGTGTCACCTCAAATGAAAGTGTAAAGTGTAACATTATCAACTAATGTCTCACCTTACATTTTACATTGTACTACATTCAACATTCCACTCAGGGTTATCTAACAAGAAATAAAAATTTTGCATTCCCACACATTGTATTATTACCACACAACAATAGTTTATAAACAGAATATACAGTTTTGTGTCTAATGATCCACTGTTCTTCATTTTGTTGGTAAACTAGTATGTTGTTAAATTATATTGGTACCTTTTGTTACACTTTTATGTGTTACCCTTTATATGTTACACTCTTGTATATTAGACTGTGATGTTAACACAATCAACATTTTTAGGATTTACACACAGTACAATTACACAAAATTGCACAAAAAAAGAATAAACAATCGTGTCACTAAACCACATGGGCAATTAACATCTACAACACAAAAATGTTTTAAAATTAAACAAAAGATTCAATGTAAATTTAACAATAAAACAACATAAAAGTGTTTCAAAACAAGTGTAACAACAAAAAGTGTATCAATAATTGTCCAACGAAATACAACACGAAACACCAATTATGTATTTATTCAAACAAACGTATATATGTATATGTATTTAGTCAACCCAATTCATGCATATATTCAATCAATTGAAAAAAAGAAAGGGTTACAACATCCAACAATTCATTGGTTTTTTATAATTTGAACACTCTTATGGTATAAAAATTACATAATTTAACAGCTTTTGACAAAAAAAAAAATCTAAGCATTATTCATCTTTCAATCTTCCTACAAACAAAATAGGGTTCCAATACATTAATTTAAACAAAAAAAAAGTGTAATGTAACCCATGATGATAATACCCAATTAATTAAATAAACAAGAAAAAAAAGTGTAATGTACTGAAAAAAAGGGTTTATACACACATAGATATACATACATACAGTACATCTTGTGAAGATCAACAAACTCAAGGAACACAGTGGAACCAATGACGGACGAACACTGTGCAAAGAACGAGCAACGATCACAGTAACAATGTCGTAAAAACCCTTTTCAAATCTCTAATAAAACCCTCTTCAATAGATGGTAATGTAACCCGAATCCCTTGCTGAATCGATGAACAATGCACATTCAACACCCTTTGGATGAATACACAGATAATCGACTAAAGAGGAAGATGAATCACTTTCTTTAGGATGGATATGCAGATCAGTAGGTTTCCTTGGAAGAAGATACAGAGCAGCCATTTTTTTTTGGAAAACAAAAAGATAAATTTCGATTTTTTAGGAAGATAAATATATTTTGAATTAATTGAGCCTAAATTTTAGAGGTTATGATAACTGTATTATTACATTTTTAAGAAAAAAAATATCAAAATGGATATTTACGTCTTTGTATCCAACTAGTGTACTTTTTTAAAAATATTTTTTTATGTGTACTTTTTGCCAAATAAGTCTAATTAGGTGTACCGACTTTCAAATAATCCTTAAAATATGCTATAATCTGGGTCAAGGATAGACCCATATTTTTTAGGGTAATTTGGGGGTCTGTCTCTTTTATGGATTTATTTGGACTTAAATCCACTAAAAAAACTTATTTGAGAATATCTCTATTGTCCAAAATATTCCCGGTACTTATATTTAATTGAAATAAATTTAAAAACTAATAACTCCTAAATTTTAGGAGTTTTTCTAAGATTAACATTGTTTCTCTCATATATGTGTGTGTGAGAGAGAAAAAAAGAGACATAAAATAGTAATATTCAAATAAAAAAATAATAACATTCAACCAAAAAATACTAACATTAAATATTAACATTTGGAAAAATAAAATAAAAAAAATAATATTCAATAGTAACATTTTAAAAAAATAAAACAAAAAATAGTTACATTCAATACTAACAATAATATGCTCAAAAAAAATAGTAATATAGAATATTGAGCAAAATTAGAAGCATATTATTATTTTTTGAGGCAACTGATAATGCATGCAGTTTTTTTTTTTTTGTCATACTCTATGCAAGAACATGAACCCAAGAAAAATGGATAAAAAAGAGTGAGAAGAGGAAAAAATCCACGAGGACTTTCCTTGTATTGAAGGAATACATATCCAACCCTTCTCAGAAAAAATTCAAAAATCATTACACAAAAAGCACACGTTGTTAGTTGCTTGTAGAACCTTTTGACTATGATGAATCTAATCATAAACACCATGGGCATGGTCACGAAAGATGATGACGTCTTTTCACGGGGCTTTAACATAGATATTATCATCCTTTTTATGACCTTTTTAAAGTCCGCCATTGGATAAGACGAAGATGGATCGTCGGGTCCGGGTTTTCTAGTAGTTGTGAGGGAGCCGAGGTAACAATTTTGAGAGGTTAGGATTCTGAGAACATATGGGTTTATTGATTTTAGGATTTTTTTCTCATTATTATAGTAGCCAAAAACTGATCACTTAGAGAGAGAGGGGGGAGGGGAATGTTCAGTTTGGGAAAGTATGAAATTGAATTTTAAATTATATGAAAAAGTTTAAATTTGAAGAGTTTGACTTTAAATTTAAAATTTTATGGAAAAAAAACCTTACTAGTAGAATTTTATTAAACGTGAATCAAGGAATAACTGTTTAGGAAAGTAATTTAACGTTGAAGACTGCTATACTTAATGGATTAAGTGTCTTTTCCAACGAGGGGAGAGTGAATCAAAAAATGAACAATTCACTCTCCCCCTCACCTTAGAGAGACACAGTAACCATCACTTCTCAGTTGGCAAAGGGAATAAACCCCGATCAGGATCAGAGGGCACCTTCCTCTAAAAAGGAGGGAGAACTCTGAGTCCACACAGAATACATGACCGACACTAAGCACTGCAGCAGCAAGCGGGTTAGCCAATCAAAAGCTTCTTACGGGATGATACACAACCATCGTTACCAAAGCATTTGATTGGTGCTTGAAAAAAAAAGTTATTTAGCACAATTTTCACCACTTTGAAAAATTGCAAGACAATTAAGTTCATGATTTGTATCATAATTGTAATTTTAAAAAATATTAACAATTGACAGCTTTTTATCAATGAATTTAACTTGAATTAATTTTATTAATATTTGTTAAATTTGGTTTTCAATTTGTTAAATGTATATTGAACAAATAATTTTAAAATAAATGGTAAAAGAGTGAAACTAAAATGTTATTTATTTTCAAAATTCAGTTACTAGTAATTATCAAATAATTTGATACAATTCATTACTTAAATTTCTGTAAAAACCAAACACTTTACAATTTAACAGATTCAACATGCAACACTTAAAATTTAGTATTTAATTTTCAATATTTAACTTTTAATTTTACCAAACAAGACCTTAACTCATTAAAAATTTCTTAAGGATTATTTTACCCCGATTTTTACTATTTTTTATCCAGCATCACTTTTTGATTCCCAAAAATGGCTTGGGACCCACTACCATTGTTGCCATATCCAAATGGGTTTTGATCTACTTTAGCCCAGTATCCAAACATACCCATAGGCGCGGCATAGATAGCTCTGATTGTCACCGTCGAGTCGACGTACCTCTCTCTCTCTCTCTCTCTCTCTCTCTCTCAGTCTGCTTCTCTCCCTGTCTCTATATATCTGTATCTATCTACTGGCTTGCTCGCCTGTATATTCAGGTCTGTTTCTGTTTGATAATTTTTTTATCCACAGTTATTTACTACGGATGAATCTTAGGGTTTTAGGTTCAATAGCATCTCACAGCCACAAAAGGTTCAATAGCATCACATTTTAATTTTTATTCTTCGTTCATACTCCGTACTTAGGGTTTTGAATGAATTTTCCTGCTATAATGATTAAAGGTAGAATTTTTGTGATCTTACTTGCAATGATTTCTGAATGCTGTGGCTTTTGTTTCCTATTTTTCCGCATGGCTATACGTGGGCACCTGTCTTAATTTCGGTTTCGTTTTGTTGAATTTTGATGCACTTGAGAACTGATAATCGATTAAATTGGAAAATTTTCAGGGTCAATGGATATGGCAGAGCCTTCTAAAGTCATTCACGTCCGCAATGTGGGGCATGAAATCTCCGAGGTGCAACCATCACTTAATCTACTTATAATATACAATATACATGGTGTTTTGAACTCTTCCGGTTTACCAATAGGCAGTTCGAAAATGAAAATTTTGCCACGGGAAACTTCTAGTTCATTTGTATTTGTTCTTTTTGTTATCCTCTGAAAGTGAATAATTTTAATCTAAATGACTAATTATTATTTTATTTATCTGTATACAATTTTTGTTGTGGCTTAATTTCATTTTTGACGAAAAGTAAGAGGTTTCTATGAAAAATGATTGCTTGGCTAAATTTGAATCTTGTTCTTGGTAATCCTTGTGTCAAATTGATTTTTTTATTTGCATCTCTTGTATCAGTATATGCGTTTAAATAGTTATGTGAATCTTTTTGCTCAAATTCATTTGCAAAAGCATGCTGAGACAATGAAGCATTCTTTGTGGATTTTTATCAAAGTCATAATAAGCATTTAAAATTATTGTACAAAGAGATGGTAACATTTTCTTCATCAAAATCTTAATGCTTAATGCCCTGAATACAAAGAACCGATTTGTTTGAGAGGGTGCTTTATTTCCAATAACCAGAGCCGAAGGTAAGCAAACATCAAGAGAGTGAAAACCAAGATATGCGATAGGACCTGGCTGCCCATGCTGCACTACATACCCTTTGTCAAGGGATCATGTAGCAGTAGTTTTTTTTTATTCACCCCAAGAATGGACTCCATGAAGTGTAAAAACAATCTTTGATTAGATTTGAACACTCCTTTTCTGAAATAGGTTACAAACATAGTTATCAAATTGGAATGGTAAGATTTGGCACAACTTAATTAAAATCATCTTAATAAAATTTGTATATTTGAATGAAAATAAGATATATTGATAATTAATCGTATTATGCAGTATTTCTAATATAATGGTCGATCAATTGGACATCTAGTTGAAAAGGTGCTTGCCTTCAAGGCAGAGATGTGGGCCCAACTTCCCAAGCAATAAGTGGAAATGAATTAGTACATACTTTACTCACCTTCAAGGGATATCACCATCTATATGATTCTTCAAATCCCATAGCTACAAAATAACAGTTCCAAACTTCAAATCCAAGAATTTTGCAAGAAAATTTGTTGTTTTGCTTTAAAAAATGGAGCATAAAACCCCTGTGAGAATATAAGAAGAAAGAGTGAGGGCTTTAGTACAGCCACGTGTTAGACCTAAACATTTTTTAATATGTCTTCTATTTCTCTTGTCAAGAAAAACTTTTTTTAAAAAGGTCAAAATGGGTCTGGCCCACTCGGGTCCAACTGGATCCAACCCGGGTGTTTGTTGGTCCCAACACATTCAGAATTGTATGAACCGAATGAATTGGTTTGATTCATGTGACTCACCCAGATTCGGCAACGATTCTTGCCTAGTATCGAGACCGGCACTAATTTGCCTTCAATCGATGCTTGAATCGTTAATCATATGGTTTTGACAACTATCGGTACATATACTTAAATAATGCCTGGGAATGGGATGCAACAATGGCATGATTCAAAAAGGCACTTCTTGGCACTTTGATTAGCTAATATGCACAAATCTATGTGTGTCTACTTATTTATGAATATGCTATAATTCTATGTACAGGCATGCACTGAACTATACTTTGTATCAAAGATGGTGAAACAAGATGAAGTAACTTATTCTCATCTGTGAAATAAGTTCAGTAATTGGTATTTCATGATTTTCGTGAAAAAGGGATTTGTTGGAGTATAATGTGCTGTACTCACAGCTTTTTTTAAGTGCATGAGTGAGTTTGTTGTCTACGATATTTGTTGCTTCATCAGACCTTTTTTGGCTGTATTAATTCAGCTTTTGTAGACATTCTGCTTTGTTACTTAATGAAGAAAGACATTCTTCTATTTTTTTCCAGAGTGATTTGCTTCAGCTATTCCAGCCATTTGGAGTCATTACCAAGCTTGTAATGCTTCGTGCAAAAAATCAGGTATTTTGTTGGCTGAATGGTAAGGGGATCCATATATGCTTAGGATTGAACTTGTGGAGCTTAAAACATTTTTGTATTTCTGCTGTTCTATAGGCCCTTCTCCAAATGCAGGATGTGAATTCGGCGATTAATGCATTGCAGTTCTACACAAATGTGCAGCCTAGCGTAAGGTACTTATAAATTATGTTTAGAATTTTTTTGGGAATTGTGTTTTCTGTTTAGTGTGTTACTTGTCTTATTTTATTTTACTAGTTTTGATTGGTATTTATAGATTCTGATTGTTGCCTCGCATATAGGGGTAGGAATGTATATGTTCAATTTTCTTCGCATCAAGAACTAACAACTATGGATCAGAATTCTCAAGCACGAGTTGATGCGGTTAGTACTCTCTAGCTTGTAGGGTGAAACCTAGAAATTTGTTGTTGTGTTGTGGGTAGTTATTGGAAAGAAGCACTTGGAAGTGGCGTTTCTTCTGGCAGTAATGCCTTTAATTTTGAAGATTGAGTTTTAACATCAGGTTGCATAACTTTTTAAACAGCATGAGCTTGAGAATCATTAATTTTATATCCAAATACTTGAAAAGAGTCAAAATAGCAGTATCAAGGTTCTGTATTGAACTTTTGTGTGCCAACTGAGGCAGAACGTGTACACAAGAAAAAGAAAATATGAAATATTGCAAGGAGAGGTTTTTGGAGCATGTGCCATGAATATTTTGGTTGAGTTTAAATCATATTTGATGTTAGTTTAGGGTAAACGAGCTGCTGGAAATATTGTTGGCCATGTATTATTAGTTTTTGGGTTCAAAGGAATCTGATCTTTTCAACAAGTACTTTGTCATGTGTCATTAATATTGGCCCAGTTTCATGTGTATCCGGCGCCGTTTGTGCAATTCTATTGGGAATTTTGTAAAATAGTTATCTTACCTTATGTATGTTTTGTTATTTTGATAGGCTTGTCAGTCATGCTTTCTTTCAAATTCAACATGCTAAACATAGTTTTAAGAGATTATAAATAAGACAAATTTTTGGTCCAATCAGTTGACAAATTTTGAAGAAATAGAGGCTGGAAAGATAGAAATATTGTCTCCAGAAATGATTTGAGGGCATCTCTTAAAGGCTTCTTGTTAGATCTTCATGTGAGGTCTGTCGTCTTTGACATGCAGTTCTATGTGCTTGTCTCATTGGTAGATTACTACCATTCATTTTCTTGTGCATCTAGAGTGCTGATTCTTTTGAGCTCTTGGACGAGGACTTGAATCGAAAATGCTCTCTTCTGTTCAGGGTTTTGAACCACTTGGTGTACAACGATAATCATCTTTAGTTTGTTTAAAAAATTCAAAATGTTTTTTTTTTATTTGATGCATCCCATGTTCTTGTTACATGGATTTTTTACTTTATGGTCCGTGGAATCAGATTGAGGGGTTTTACAAGACTAGACATAAATTATGTTATTCTCTCTCTCACTTAACTTTATAGTGCATTTTGTTTCTTTTGCTTCATATGTATTTTTCTGGTCTTCCTTGCATTTGCTTAGTAAATTATTAGTTTACGTAATTTTTTTTACTTCTGTAGCTCTTTCTCCTTTCTCCATCTATTCTTCTATATTCATTCTCTTCTCCTCTCTCTTCTGTCTCTGTGCTGGTCTGCCGTGGGGGTACTCTCTGGATACACAGCCTAATCGAATTCTCTTAGTTACAATACATCACATGCTCTACCCTATAACTGTGGAAGTGCTGCATCAAGTGTTTTCTCCTCATGGATTGGTGGAGAAGATCGTCACGTTTCAGAAGTCAGCTGGTCAGCTTCTTCAAGTTTTCTCTCTCTCCCTCTCTTAGCTTTGCTTAATTTCAACTCTCATTTTTGCATGTAAAATCGGTGTAATGGGTTTGGCATTTGATTTTGTCATGAAACTCCTTTATTATTCAATTTGTTTTCTGGACCTTCATATTAATCGTTGTATTTTATTTTTTTTGGATATAAAGTATTGATACCTTCATGTTTTGCCGGGTATGTTTAGAGAAGATAATCTTTATAGAGATCCATGCTTACCCACAACGAGTTGCATAAAGCTTTTATATTATTCTTTGTAACTCCATTTACCCTGTATGTGCTAATTTTGTAGGCTTTCAAGCTCTTATCCAGTATCAATTACGCCAGAGTGCTGTTGCTGCTAGGAACTCGCTTCAGGTATAAGTTTGTAATGTATTCTACAATTTTTGCTGAATTGATGGCCTTTTTTGAAGCTTGCTCACTGGTTTGGCTTCTCATAAGAAGTTTAACTGTTGACATCTTCTTTATAGGGGCGTAATATCTATGACGGTTGCTGTCAGCTGGACGTTCAGTTTTCAAAGTAGGTTCCAAACCTTTTCTTCTTTAATTTTTCTGGTGTTGGTTTGGATGTGCGTTTATTTTTCCTGTTCTATTGTACGCCGCTGGAATAGTACTTAAATCATTAATTTTTGTGATCCAGCCTTGATGAATTGCAAGTGAACTACAATAATGAGAGGTCAAGGTGGGATGATAGCTTCATCATTTCTTACTTCACAAATTACTGTTAGAGTTTCTTTGTGCGTTCATTTAAATACTTTATCATTGACAATTCTGCCGTATTTGTCCCCCTCTTTTGCACAGGGATTTCACAAACCCGTCTCTGCCTTCAGAACAGAAGGGCAGATCCTCACAAGTATGTTTTGGTCTCTATTTTTTCTCTATTAAAATTGTTAGAGTGTTTTCATGTTTGATTTTCCATTTTGCCTTCTGACATACAATTTCCACATTATATTAGCCCTATGGAGATGTGTATGCCCTTCAAGCTTCTGGAGCCAGAGCAGGTGCTTAATCCAGCAGTTACATAATTATCTGCACCTCTTTTTCTTTTCTTTTTTTCACTTTGTTGGGCTATCTGTTTTTTGACTTTTCACTCTTTTTTTTGGTTTTCAGTTGGATTTCAACAGGTGGGTATGGCTTGGGTCATGTTGTAAGCTCCATCTGACATCTTTTGCCCAGCTGTGATATTCATCTATCTGCCAGCGTTCTTGAGGGAATATATAGATGTCTATTTGTTGACCTCTCTTTGGTTACTAGGTCTGCCATTAATTGTAATGAGCATGCACCACAATTGCCTGATTGGTACCATTCTGAATATCCTATCTCTTGGTTTCCTGATCTTCAATTAACCCTTTTTTTTAATGTTAATCACGAGTTCTATGGTTATGGTTGCAATCCTATTAAAAGCTTAACCAAATCATTTCCCAACAGCCTTGTGCCTGCTGGACCATCAGTTAAGTTCTTAACGATTGGTATCAAAGCAAGCACCACTTCGCAAGTTTGAGTCACAATAGGGGTTATATATAGACTGGACTAAAATGCATTGGTACTATGTAGTGACATAGTGCGAAGTCATTGAATACTGATGGGTGAGTGGAATGGAACCACCAAAGAGAAAGGCTACCTTTAGTTCACTGTCGATAGAGTGGGCCTTCGTGGATGTCAGCAATGGAATGTAGTGTGGACGGTTAAATTATTAACTAGTATGATAGGCCTGGGATATTTAATATGACATCTGTTATTGGGGATAAAATTTTATGACTTGGAGATTTCTGGTGTATGTGGCTTGTTTAATTTTTTTTTTTTTGATCTGAATGTGGATTGTTTAATGGTTTTCACTTTTCGGGCTATTATTTTAGCTTCTTGTATCTTATCAAAAAAAAAAAAAAAAGCTTCTTGTACAGCATTGAATATCACATTTCATTGTTCACATTTTTTTTTCAAGTAAATAGTTTGCCTTTTCTCCGGGTGACTCATCCCCGGGTCCGTCTGTGTGTGTATTTTGTGGAAAGATGCCAATAAATGAGGTAACCTGATTTTCTTTGGTTCTTTCCTGAATTCTAGATGGGCAATGCTGCTGCCATCGCAGCTGCCTTTGGAGGAGGTTTGCCTCCTGGAATTAGCGGGACAAATGATAGGTGCACTGTTCTTGTTTCTAATCTAGATCCTGAGGTGAGTCTCTCTCTCTCTCTCACACACACACACACATACACATACACATACACATACACACACATGTTGATTTCCATTTGTGTGTAGTTTTTACAAGCTTTGAGTTCTATGGAAAGCTGGAGCTTATTCTTTAATCTCAAAGTTTGGGTTCTCTTTCCCATCCTTCATTGTGGAAACTCTTCTTGTTCTCAGAGAATAGATGAAGACAAGCTTTTTAACCTGTTCTCCATCTACGGAAACATTGTGAGAATCAAACTTCTCCGCAATAAACCAGATCATGCACTAGTTCAGATGGGTGATGGATTCCAGGCTGAATTGGCAGTGCACTTTTTGAAGGTGTGATCCCTACAATCATCTTATGATTACGTTTGTTTGAGTTTAGAATTGTTGCTGAGATGTTTGATTTTGTGGGATATTACTGCCGGTGTATCGTTGAGAAGTGTTGGCAAATGAGTATAGAACTGAGTTTCCAAAAATTTATCCAGATTAAACTGCCTTATGCTACTCTGAAATCACTTACATAAATGTCTTCTCAACCGGTCAACCTTCCTATTTCCTTACTCTCTTTTGAATTTATAGCACATTTTGCATTCTTACTCGCTGGTTGTTGGTTATGTTGCATGACTAAGGTTTTGGGCTTTTAATGATTTCTTGCTTGTATTGTTGAATGTTACTATCATCTGATAAAGATGTCGTCTGTTGTTTTGTACTGTCAGTCCCAACTGTTTATTCACATTTTTCCAATATTGAAAATCATGACCGATGATTATTATTCCAAAAAAGTAATTGAATAAATACCATGACCCATTTTAGTTTTGTGTGAACCCATTGGAAGCATTGGATGGATGTTAATCTATGTAATAAGATAGAAGGGTTTTTACCATAAAGCACAACAATAAGACAGTTTTTGTAGATTCGACGGTTTATCTTACAACTTACATTTTAACTTTTTAATCACAGTAGATCTATCTATTTATATTTAAACTTTTAGCCACAGTGAACATGTTAACCATAGTAAATATTTGGGTAAATTTCACCCACACCCCCTGTCATTAGGTTTTATTATATGGACACTCCCTCACTTTTTTAAAAATGACACTAAGAGTCCTTGACATTTTCAAACTTGTAACGGTCACACCCGCTTAATAGATGTTAGGAAGATTAATAGTCAAAGTTGGTCTTATGAAAAAAGCAATTAAAATGCCAAAAATACCCTTCAGTAGTAAACTTATAATAGATAAAAAAAATTCACCCTCATTTTATTTTTTAATTATTCCATTTATCCACAACTTATAATCTGGACAAGCTATGATACAACAAATCAAATATGTTTATTACACTAATATATTTGTTTCAATTATATAAATAACAACAAATCTATATTTAGGACTAAAATAATTCAATATTAAACAACTTTTATAATTAATGGTCACACTAATCATTGTCTAATAAATTCATTATTTAATTCTACTTGATTAATTATAATTATGGATTAATTATTTAATCATATCAGATTAATTGTAATTTGGTAATAATTTACCCTATCATTTTGAATGATCCTTCTCCTCCACAACACTGCCACCACAACACCACCACCACCACCGAAATGCCCACCACCGCCACTATACAACCCCATATAATTCCTCTCCCTCTCCCTCCCTCCCTACCATAGCACAATGTACACCACCACCCCTGCACAAACCCATCCAAATCCCTCTCCCTCCCATCTCATCTTCAAGCCAGCCCCACCCAAGAAATCACCATAGAAACGCCTACCACCTACCATAGCCACCAAACAAGCCCATCCAAATCCCCCTTCCCTCCTTTAAACCAATTATCAAAATCCCACCTGAAAACCACCACCCACCGTCGCAACAGATTAAAAAGAGAGAGAGGCACCTACCACAACCACCCATCTGCCACCATCTTCACAGAGACAAAGGACAAAAACTCACAACCAAATTACATTCAACAGCCATTGAACACCATTACAACAACCTCAATTTTTTTTTCATTTTTTATTTTTTAGATTTGTAAATCTGTGGTCATATTTCAATTTTTAGATGAGGGTTTTGTGTCAAATGATGAAAGGAAAGAAGGGATGAGGAATTTGCAACAGGTGGGGAGGGTACAATGGGGTGGGGGTGGCCGAGGAGCAGTTGGGTAAGGGGGAGTTGGTGGCAAGGTTACCTGGATCGTGGGTGGCTTGGGTACGTGGTACATGGTAGGGGGTACGACACTTTCTTAGGTACGCGGTACGATGGGAGTAGGCTTAGCTGATACATTATTTTGGACCGCAATTCATTTTAGGACTCTTATCTAGATTATTTTCATTATTATGCAACTTTATATGTTATAAAACATATATAAATACCGAGTCAGTTACTATTTATGTGATATTTTGCTTGATTTTCTATTATATAATTATAAATTTATATGCATGAAGTCAATTAATATGTATTTTATATTTGTGCTACATGTTCGAATGCGAATTGATTTAGGGTTAGTATCACAATTTGGGATCGTATAATTTGATGATCTGGATCGCGAACTCACCCCGTTTGGAATCGATGTACCTAGATCGTGGGTCGTCATGGGTTTAATGAATTTTGATAATCATGGTTGGTGGTTGAGTGCAATGAGGGAGTTGGTGGTTAAGTGTAATGGGGGAGTTCTGGTTATGGGTTGGAGGTCGTGGAGAGAGGTTGCTTGGCACAGAGAGAGAGAGAGAGAGAGAGAGAGAGAGAGAGAGAGAGAGAGAGAGAGAGAAAAGGGGATGGAGGAAGAAGATGATTAAAGACAATAAACATTAGAACCACAGTGAAATAAAAAAGTTGTACTTTGCACAAAAGTATCCTAGTTTTTATTATGATTTGAAGGGGTACTCTCATGATTTCTTAAATTACATTGCACTTGTTTTTTGTTTGGGATTGTATTCACATGATACTCTATTGGTTATCAGTGAGGTTAACTACCGTGAAGAATGTCATCACCCATTTTTTTCAGAAAAAGCCCATTACACTTGAATGTTCCAAAATAAAATAAATAAAAAGAAAATTATTTTTTCATATTTAACAAAAAAAAAAAAGGTTGATTGTTTCCTACTCCACAAATTAGGAAGCACACATATGAATACGAGATAAGGGTATGATACGATACGGATACGACAATATGAAAAAATTCGAAAAATAAGATACGGGTGTAGTCATGATACGTCTATAAATATTTATTTTTTATATTTTTACTGTTATGTAATGAATTGATAACTATAATTTTTATATATTTTTTAACAATAATAAACAACATTAACAATTTTTTATCTTCAAACCTGTACTTCAATTCAATTAAAACACTACCTGTAGCACCAACTCCAAACGCAATTCTTTAAACTCACTTGGTGGGTTCGTGCGTTTGGGTTGTTGATTGGTGATTCATGGAAGGAGAGTCCATGGCCGTGGGCTGAGAGTGGGTTTAAGGTGGTCTTTCTGGTGGGTCTTGGTTGATTCCGTGGTTTGAGGCGCTGTTGGTGGTGGGAATTGATTGAAAGTGCATGATTGTGAGAGAGAGTGAAGAGGGAGAGAGAAGGAAAAAAGAGGCAGAAAATGTGAATGCAGCTGTAATGGTTGCTCAAATTAGGAATAAGTAAGGTGTAAAGACTGTTTGGATAGAGGGACACGTGTTGTCAACTCTGGTGGTAGACAAAATCTGACAGGATGTTTCTGTGTCATTTCAAAACGACGAGGATACCCTTTGCAATTGTCTCTGTAATTTTGCTTTCATATTTTATGAGGTGAGGTGAGGTGATTTTCACCGCATAGGGAGTGCAAAACATTGATCAAGGCCATCAAGCCCATATGACCGTGAAGGGAGAGAATCCTGGTAACATTCTAGGACACATTATGCCAATTGATAGAACATGGTGTCAAAAAAGGATTTACAAAGTTGATTATAATTTGCTAAGAAGGTGGTTTTGTTAAGTTGTTTTGACCTAGTTTATTAGACAATTTGTATATATATGGCTTCTATTATTTGAAACTTTCCCAGTGGCACTTGAACCTGCCCAAAATTTTGAATACAGGGAGCCCTGTTGTTTGGGAAGTGCTTGGAGGTGAATTTTTCAAAGCATCCAAACATTACAACGGGAGCTGATTCACACGACTATTCAAACTCAAATCTGAACCGTTTTAACCGTAATGCTGCAAAAAATTACCGATACTGTTGCTCCCCGACAAAGATGATCCACTTGTCTACTCTCCCCCAGGATGTGACTGAGGAGGAGATTGTGGCCCACTTGGAAGAACATGGCACCATTGAGAATACCAAACTCTTTGAAATGAATGGAAAGAAGCAAGCTCTTGTCCTGTTTGAAACTGAGGAGCAGGCTACTGAAGCCCTTGTATGCAAACATGCCACGCCCCTTGGTGGTTCAACTATTAGAATATCCTTTTCCCAGTTGCAAACCATTTGAGGACACTTGTGCGGGAAGGGTAGCACGAATAATGGATCGTGAACAGAATGAATATTTATGTTCCGGTGACTTGCTTTCTTACTGTCTCTCATTTGTTGTAACTGAGGTTTATTTGTTTCCGTCATGGTGGATTCATCTTTGCTTCTGTACCATCATTTTCCTTCTCATGCTTTTATGACTGCAAGTTTTTTCTATTACTAACATCAGGGAGGAAGATTTGGGGACATGCAAATTTTGTAGAGTAGGAGAGGGAAGCAAGTTATATCTGATTGATGTTTATTGTATATAGCTTGTAGGCTGCTTGGGCTATCCATTATCCCTGCCAATTCATACCTGTTATTCGACAAACCTGTTTGTTTCTGCTTCATGTTCCTCTCTCTCTCTCTCTCTCTCTGGATGCCTTTTTTTTCTTCTCTCTTTCTGGATGCCAATCTTCTTCTCTCTTCTTCTTCCCTCTGGTTCGCATGGAGTTAGGCAATATAGTCTGTTGTCATTCTTCCCATTGGGAAAATGGATGTGGTATCTATCTTTGGATGTGTAATTTTGATTTTGTAGTATGGACAAATATTTACTACATCAAACAAATGAGTGCTGGTGCTGCAGAGAAGGTTGGATATATGGACTCTAAGATTATTCATATACTTTTAATAGATTTAGTAGATAACATAGAAATATGCCCTCTGGCATGAGAGAAGCCTTCGGAAAACCAATAAGTCCAAAGGACCACACCAACACAGGAGGCAACCAAGGAGTGACCCCAGTGGATTTAGCTATTGGCCATCTTAAGCGAAGAACTTCCTACAAGATTTTTGAATCTCGATAAATAGAACAGTTATTTATCCTCTCATCTACTCGACATTGTAGAGCTTTGATATGGTTTTGTTGACTTTGCTCTCGAAGTTGCAAGGAGCATTAGATTGAGTTTTTTTTTTATCAATTTCGTCTCCTTACGATCATAAGATAAGATAGAATTTTAAAATTTATTTTTGTTAAGGCATTCAACATACGAGATTAGTGATTGACTTAAAAATCACTGTTCTCACTGTTGCATATTTAATGAAGAAAAGATTTTCGGTAATAAGAAAATTTATTTATGAATTCTTATCCATATCTTATAAAATTTTTTAGAATTGTCCGCTCACAGAACAATTGAATTATCCGATTATAACTCGATGTGCTATGTTATATCAACTCTACAACTTTGAGTGCCATCGTACCTCGTATTCTTTCCCCAGCAACCCAAAAAAAAAAATGTTGACCAATATACGTTGTTGTGTGCATCATGGATTTTAGTGATGATTAAAGTCCCGCTAAGTTTGGACTTAAAAATCTAATTTAATTTATTGACATAATAATTGGATCAATACTAAATTTTAATGTTTGATGGAGTCTTCAATGAATTCAAAAGTTACAATAAATTAAATCAATAAATTATATCAATAAATTAGGTCCCAATAAGATTGCTCAAATTTAAACCATCCAACCCTTATCATCTCACATTCTTCCATCACAAAATACAAACATATTCCTTCAAACCCGAAACAATCTATCATGGACCCGACTCTAATCCGATTTTCCTCCTCATTTCCCATCAAACACAACCTTCTCTCCAAACACCTCCACAAACCCTTTTCTCTCTCCTCACTTTCTCTTTCTCCAAACCTCCGTAGCTCTCGAATTTCATTTAAGGTGGATAGTCATGGCAGCAAGAGAAACGACGTCGAGTTCGACGAAGTAGCTTACGAGGCCGAGCGGCTCAGCCTTGACGCCAAGGCACGAGAATCGATGGCCGAGACGTCGGAGAGAGAGAGCCGAGACGGGGACGACCCGAAAGCGTGGAAATGGGAGATCCGAAACAGAATATGGGACTTGCTCGAAGCCCGAAACCTTGCTCAATTCCCTAGGCCCGTTCACCATCGGATACCCAATTTTGTTGGCGCTTCGGCTGCTGCTAAGAAAGTAATAATTATTGGTATTTGTTTTTTCTGTAATTTGATCTGTTTGGTTGTGAAGAAAATTTTTGGCTGATTTTCTTGGGAAAATGTTGGCAGTTGAGTGAACTGGAGGTGTTTAAGGTGGCTAAGTGTGTAAAGGTGAATCCAGACACGCCCCAGAAGCAAGTCAGGTTCCTCACACTTAATGGTCAGTGGTTATGTCAACTGTTTGATGGTTCATTTTTTTTTTTTTGTTTCAGGTCAGTTTATGCCAACTTCAACTAATCCTCTCGAACTATCCAAATAGAGTATTTGTCGGACTAGGGTATTGGTAGAGAATAAATCTGACTCAAAAGATTATCCAGATTGTTTGGACAATAATGTTCCCTATGATGGGCTGGTAGTGCCCCTGGAGATTCTGAGCGCAGATAAGAGTTACTAGATCCTCATTTCGCTTGAGGAGGCGTTCATTGGCTTGACGCAATGCCTAGTTCGTCATTTGAAGGGTGGCAGATTGTCTTTTGTGCTGATTTTGCAAACGTAGTAGATTTCCCAGAGTTTTGCTCATGTTGCGCATAGAGACCATCAATTACCGGAAGACTAGTAGAATTTTAGTAGGAATTGAAATAAACGTTCCCACATACGATGCCAAATTGATGGTGTAATTTATGCAGTTGTGTAGCTACCATTGAGGTTGATGGTTCACTGGTGCACACACGAACTAGGGAGAGAGAGAGTGATAGAGAGATTCTGTGGTTCAAATTATTGTGCTAGAGGGAGCAAAATGGTAGCCAATGCATGATGGGTGTGACATGGCTTTTAAGCTAATAGTAGTTCGTTAGAACTTGGAAATGTACCTAAATGCTTCATCATGATAAAATATTCATTTGGCAAGGAGTGAGTATGAAAGGATATGGAGTTGACCTAGTTGGGTTTATGATGCTTATCAATTATGGTTGAAATTATGGAAAGATGATTTATGAACATGTATATTGATTGCAATGCAACGGATATGTATTGTACAATATTGGCCGCTTTGGGCTTAGGGTAGTCCCGCAGGCTGTAGAACGCTTTTCACACACTCCACCAAGCGATATGGGATTGGACCACTCATCTTGCTATGTTTTTTGTTGTAAAATGCTCTTCACACACACCAGCGATATGGGATTGGGACACTCATCCTGCTATGTTGTTTGTTTTTTGTTCTCATTGAAATGATGCATGTCCTCACTGCTCAGGTTTGGTGCCTTTTTGGCTCTATTTGTTTGGGAACCGGTGCAGCTACTGTTGTTGTGTTCGATTTGATTTTGCTTGATATTTGAAGGCCCTCATTGGTGTGCAGGTGGAAAGAAACTATTAACTCCTCAGCCTCGTTTGAGGACCGGTTTTTTCTCTATACTTGAATCCGGGATGTTAAGTCCTTCTACAATTAATGAGGCTTGCACCTCAGCTGGGGTTGCCAAATATGGAAAGCCTATTGGACTGGATGAGAAGATCAAGGTGGATCTGATTGTCATTGGGTCAGTTGCTGTTGACCCAAAGACAGGTGCTCGACTAGGCAAGGGTGAGGTATAACTTATTGCTCATTGCATTGCATATTTAGCCATCGGCATTTTGAAACAAGCAAGTATATATATGAGGCTTGGTTTTCATGGCATGACTGCTTGATATCACACACGCAGTTTTTATATGAGTAATAATATAATACTATCAAAAAAATATTCGACTAACACAAGACACTTACTTCCTCGGAGTTTATTGAACTTTTTATGGTGAATGCTGCATAGAATAACGACCTGAGCACAAGACAGATGGGTTCCAGATTTTTTGAAGATTTTATCTTATTTTTAGGATTAGTTGCTCAATGATTGATATAGACCAGGAATGTGTACAGATCCCATAGTGAGTTGAAGTTGAAAATTAAAGCAAGTTTATGAAAAATTGGGAGTGGACATGTATAGAAACTCACCATTAAAATAGGAAACAGCAAATTTTAACAAGCCAGAATCATGGTTTCTATTGCTCTGTACATTTTCTCGGAGCTGTCAAACTCTTTTAAGGGATGGAAGTGGACAAGTACTAAGCCCCCAATTAGTAACTTCTTTTTCATGGAGCTACGAAGGTTTAATGAAGTCCATTGAATCATTTGGATCATTTGTTAAATTTGACACTTTGGACAGTTGAACCTCTTGGAAATCTAACCCCATGTTCGGCATTATAGTTCTTACTTCTTAGCGACTTGTTAGACTATTTCCTTTGTAATGAAGTATTGGTGCAGGGATTTGCAGAACTTGAATATGGTATGCTCTGGTACATGGGTGCAATCAATGATTCCACACCTGTAATCACATCAGGTAATGTGTCTTTGACTAACTATACAACATGCCCATCTCCTTTTTCAGAAATTTCTGACATATAATAAGTTCAACACAAACCTGCCCTATATTTGGATGATGGGAAGACAGTATCTAGAGTTTGAACTTAATGTCATCATCGTAAGATGACTTCTCTCTTGATTATTTGAAGGATCTGTTTTCCATCCCACTTACCTGTAATACTGTTTGTGAGTGTAATTTTTATTTCCCATTATGGCTTCATTTCCCACTTTCCTGCTTAGTGCATACTAGATAGTTACATTCCCCTTTATAGTATGGAAGTGTCTCAGGGTTTTGCGTGTGATTAAACACAATTAATTCAGATTTTAGGATCCCAGCATGGAATAAGTCATCTATTTATGCTGAGAAAGCATATTTGGGGTTGTAATACAATTTCTGCTATATAATGCTTCCTGTGAGAAGAATGTTGATTGCATCAAATCAAATTTGTGAGCTGTCTTGCAGTGCATGACCAGCAGTTGGTGGATGATATACCCTTTGAGAAGCTGTTAATTCATGACGTTCCTGTTGACATCATATGCACTCCAACCCAAGTCATTTTTACGAATACAAACATCCCAAAGCCTCAAGGTTAGTAGAACATTACAATTTGTTAATTTGTTAGATAGTTGGCATCTTAATTTTCCTTTCCCTGGGGTAATTGTGTGGCCTCAAACCTGTGTAAATATAGAACTGTAAAACTGGACAGGGCAATAAAGGCTGGGCTTTACATTGCACTTGTTCTTTTTTCCCTCTTTTGCTCTTGGGTTTTCAAAAAGAGGGCTTGCATTAAAACTTGGAAAAATAAACATTACTTCCAAGTTCACTTCTGTTGCAATACAAAGCCACACTAGATACCAGCTATAGATGAACCTCTCTGATGTTGTGAATGTAGGAATTTATTGGGACAAACTGTCTCCTGAGAAGCTAAGTCAAATTCGAATACTTAGAGAACTGAAGAGTAAAATTGAGAGAGAAAATGGCCAGAAACTTCACTGTGGCCCATCGGAGAAACTGCCCCCCACAGCACAATGGAGATACTGATGTTTATGTTATGTAGCATCTTGTTTTAGTTAGTTGAACAAAGGTTTCCAAGATTAGTGTATATGGTTTATCTCTGTATTATGAAAAGATGCTGTATGCAAACCACACCCCATCCTCCCAGCCCCTTGGCACCATGTTTTTGCTTTGTCATTGTAAATTTTATAGTTCAAAATGGTGGCAACACTTGCTTTGATATCTTACGAACAGAATGCTAGACAATCTTCGAATCCATAGCACATACCCGTTTTACACTGTTAAAAAGGTCTTGTTAGGAACACTTGAAATTTGTTTCCCCTCCAAAACAACTCTATTATGGAGTGTAATCCTATTTTTGGACAGAATTTCCCATAAAAAATGCCACTCCGATGGTCTAGTTTTATTTGTAGAGAGAGAGAGAGAGAGAGGTTGCATAAGCTATGCACAAGGTATCCCAACTAAACCAGGTTCCAGCATTTCCACTTCATTTTACACAATCATAAAAGGTAAAAACATTAAGAGATATACAGAAGGTATTTTGACTTAAACACTTGCAACTGGGAACTCCAGTTCAGTACTAGATGCCGCACAACTAATTCCCTAATGACGAACTTTGGATTTAACCACCCATATTAGTAAACATATCTTTTTGTATTTATTAAACACAAACAAGGAAAACTGGATACATCTTCAAAAGTAATGACACATAGTAGTCACAAATCACCAGTCCACCAGATGATAATTTTTCCTTCTAAATCATTCTGTTCAGTGGGATCCTCTCTATAGGAGAAATCACCTGCGGCATTGACATTCCTACTGAGACAATGATCTCTGAAAAAAAACAAGGGAAATAAACGAAGTTGATAAGACAATGAAGGCGAGAGAAATTATTTGTGACCAGACTCCCGCACTCAATCAGAACCACACCAACCATAATCCAAGTCACAAACCTATCCATATATATCTTATCTAAGCAAAAGTAACAGCCTGAGAGCTGATCATATTTGGATGTGCATAAAAGTACTTGTACTTGCATTTTGTTTCCCATACTTGCATCATTTCGACATTCCACCCAAAATATATCTTAAAAAATGACTAATATTGTTGAACATTAAAAGCAGAAAATGACTCACAAAATAATTTTCTGACTCACTCTATTAGCTGATGTATCTTCTATATATGACAAAACGAAAAGCAAGGACATTTGGTAAATCACAGATTTTGAAATGCTTCATGGATAAAAGCAAATTAATCTTCATTACAGAACTAGTAAGTGTAGGCAAAGCAGCAAACCAACCTATGCCTTCTCGAATAGACAAATTTGGTCTTATGATCTCCTCAGAATTAACCAGAAATATGTCCCCTATGTACAAATGATTTGTTGGGACATAAACACTGCATAGCTCTTCATCCCCATTCTCTCTCTGCAATTAGTTAGATGAAATGCAAAAACAAACAGATAAATAAATCTCCCATGCAGCAATACATCAAGAGATTGACAGCAAATTTGAAACAAAAATTGAGAATCAGGAACAGATTGTTCAGCTATATTTTTTGGTTTCAGTTCTGGTATCAAGATTACAAACAGTATTCGCTGATCCTCTTGATAAGGCCCAACATAACACCCAGTAAGCCAATTACACCATCTCAGTATCACGGTCCAGAAAAAAAAAGGGGAAAATTACGCAAACAAAACTAACATCTGATGGAATCAAGCATGTAAAGATTTGTGGTTGCCATTTTCGTTTTGAACCTTCTGCTCAACAATCTTTTGCATTCGCAATGTATTTTTTAATTCATTTTCTAACCAAGGAACAAACTCTAGTTGCTCTCGTAAACAACTTGCATGGCCAAACCATATAAAATGCTTTCCTACACCCCATAAATTTAGCTGCCAAGACCACGAATAACAGAACTCTGGACATACAGAAGTATTGAATTACAAACAGAATACTTGAAAAACCCCAAAGGTGCCCATCACAATAGGTTCAAAAATTGTTCATCAAAAAGATATTGCAAGTACCTGAAGAACAACCGATGATGTGATAAAACCAAAAGCATATTCACCAACACGAGGATGGCGGATGATTGCGACCTCCTTAAAAGCAGTGGTATTTTGGTCTGTAACAAAAGAAGGGAGAAAATTTTCTGATTCAACTAGGGCAACAAAAATAAAAAGAGACTTGACTATCATAAGATATGGTTTACATCAAGCCCAACTATGTCTATGCCAGGAACATGAGACAAAGCTCAATTTTTTTTCCAAATTTTATCTTCGATTCAATAACCACAATTCAGCAAAGCACGGGAAGATATAACATAAAATTCACAGCACATGGAAGCTACTTTAAAGAATGAAGTAATGAAAGTGGAAGTCATTGCTAGTAGTAAGAACTAGTGATGATCCATTGGATCATATAGAATCCATGTCCTAGGTATATCAAAAAACATTCTTTTTGCCAAGCATATATAATAAAATAGAGTGAAAGCGTCCACCCCGAAACCAAGGGGGTACTAACTAACAGCTGAGTCCTCTCCGAACCGCATCATTGGTAGGGATTAACTGAAATAAAAATCAAAAGCAGCAGGCATTACCTGGAGAAATGGCAGCACTAATTTGTTTGGATGCTGAATATATGTGTTTCATAAAGGGCATTCGCTTTATAAACCATTCTCCCAACCAGAAAACAGTGGCACCCACCCATGATGAAGCAAATATGCCAATAAAGAATATGAAAATTAATGACGTAACGAATCCAAGACCTGCACCAAGAATTTGGAAGAATCAGAAAAGGAAGACTGGAATTATGTTCTTAAGTAATCAGTATAACTCAATACTCATGAAACCATGAATAAACAAAAAAGGCCTATCAAATAACATGAAATTATGAACATCAATCTCAGATTTGTGGACTCACCAAATATTTCAACTCCCATTCTTTCATATATGGGGCTGAAGAAACCATCAACAAACTGAACAAACCACCATGTGATAAAAAATGTGACAGCCACGGGAAAGAGAACCACACTACAAATTCACAATTTTGAAAATGAATTCACAATAAAAGGTGAAAAATAATCCTATAAGCTACTAAAACAATTCCTTAGCTTAGCTTATTACCATCCAGTCATAAACTTTTTCGAAACCCAACTTTGGAGAACAGCATAGCAAGCCTGATCAAATGCCAAAGTCAATACCATATATCGGCAACACACAAAAGCTTCAAGCAATATATTCATGAGCAATAACTAGACACAAAATGCATATCAATTTATGCCCAAAAAAAAAAAAATTGTTCTATATGCAATGGGCATTGGGAGGAGGTGTTCCTTTTTTCTTTTCTTTTATATTTTGGTGAGGTTGAGGATGAGGTTGGGCTGTTCAGTGTTTCCGCATCTATGACTAATTAACAAACAAGTGAAAGAGAACAACCTGGCTTATCAAGACTGCCAATTCAGCATAATGTCTGTCACACTTAAAGAAGTGAAAGATTTTGGAGACTACAAGACAAACCACCAACAGGCTACTATTTGCACCATCATTGCAGGCGCAAGCCCATGTAAGATACTCTTAACAGATTCTTAATCTGGCGCATGCCCCTTTGCAGTCACAATCAAACTCAAAATGCATCATGCAGGGCTCATGATGGGGTACATAATCCAATCTATATGGACTATCCAAAAGTATACATTAATTAGACAGCCATAATCACAGGCACATAAAATGTCCCAGTTTGCACGCAATAACAAGCATGCCTAGTTAACGAAATTTACATGTACTTCTCCAACCCAAAACTTATTTGTTCCTTTTGCTACCTCATTCTTTCATAGTGATTCATGTCCACATGTGCTGAACAAGCACTGTGTTAAGACAGGAATATCAAACCACTGCAATTTCTCGAAGTGTCCTGATGTCTTTAGATATGAGGATTGAGTAACATTTGACAACTAGACCATTCCATGTACCAGACATTCATATAATATCCAAGTCCATGTGGCATGATGAAAAAAAATTAAAAATGCTAAGCACCACTCATAACAACTAGTCTATTAGTCAGCTAGAGTTATTAAACCAGAATTATAGCTACTCTCCATAACAGAACCCAAAAGCTACAAGTTTTGAACGTGGCACAATATCCTATACAAGGACAGCTTTGCAATCAGTCTAAGAGGTTTATTCGGCTTCCCAAATCTCCATACCTACAATTTCCGTCCACAAGTAAGGCATGTGCATGATACCCTTATATGAAGGCAAGGTGTGACTTTGTCTTCGCATGTTTCCTACACCAGCTATATCTTTCAGAACATGCAAATTTATCAAATACACGACAACTAAAGTGAAAAGACACAATCCAAAGAATAAAAGCGGGGTAACACTCCCAATCCCACTTTATTGCATCAATTTCGTCTATCCTTATTCTGGTACTAGATAATCTCAGAAACGGAGTCATTGACTTTTTTTTTTTTACTTAGTAATTTGAGTAAAACTACTGCCCATGAACTAGAAAATGTGGCGAAGTATTCAATTTTCCTCACTGAAAGTGACCCCATTCTGCGCAACATTTTTTCTAGTTAGATGCATTAAATTGCAATGTTCACACTCCCCTAATTTTGCAATTTAAATTTAGTAATACATGCATTCAAGCCTAATTGACCATTGGGCCTTCATATATGAGGAAGTAATTATTGATAATTTCGTAAGTATCCAATGGATACATGATTAAACAGATGAGTTCCGATGCATCAGAATTAGGGTTTTGAATTTGATTGAGTGACAATATGATATGGCTGAAAACTGTATTCAACACACAGGAAATACAAAAATAAACACGGACCCGTGTGTAGAGAGAGAAAGAGAGAGAGAGAGAGAGAGATTGTCCATACCTTGCGAGTGGAAGAATTGGTAGAGTTTGGAGGAGAATATTCTGGATCTTCGACATGGTGACCTTGAAGAGGCGAACTCGACGACGTGGACTCCTTTTCTTCTGCCATTTTCACTATTTTCTGTGCGTGCGTGTGCGTGTGCGTGTAAGAGAGAGAGAGAGAGAGAAGGATTCGACTAGACGGTGTAATTTATGGAAGTACAAGACAGACAATACACCTATACTCTTTTTGTCAAAATAGTTTGATCAGATACTACTGACTGACTGACTTGACTTGAAGAAGATGCAATGGAATATTAAAATTTTTAAAAATTTTTCTTTTCTATTTAGAAAAAATCCACTTATGACTTTACCAAAACTACCCATTTATAAAAATAAAAATTAACTAAAATTCATTTTTTTTACGTATAATTGTATATCAGTTTTGTTAATTCAAAACTATTAATAATGCATTTATACTTGTAAAAAAAATCCCAACGAGGGATATATATGATATCGTAAATAAACTGACACGTGACCTTCTAGTTGAGAGAATAAATTGTTATTGATCGAGTCGGTTAAGAATGTAATTTAGTTATGTCAATTTTGACACTTAATTTTGTCAAAATTCTAATGGTGATGTTTACAAATAAGGCTGTTAATCAAATTGAACTACTCGAGTTTGGTTTGAATTCAACTCAGGTTGAGCTCGTTCACGCTCAGTTCGTTTTCTAAACGACCTCAAAGTTAAACAAATTTTTAAATTCGTTTAGAAAACAAGTTCTACAAATTCAACTAAAACTCGATAGACTCAACTCATTTATGTACAAATACTCGGGCTCGACTTATTTTTGACTCTTTTAAACGAGTCGAACTTGAACAATTTTTTAGACTTGATTAAGAAACTAACTTTTCAAACTTGGCTCAGACTAGTCAGTCCTACTCACAAATTGAGAAATACTTCTACTGAAAAATATAATTTTTTTTTATAATTATTTGATCAAAATCGATTATAAATACCATTCCAAAACTTTATTGCAATTGTATAATGAATCTCAATTTTTAAATATGATGTTTACAAATAACTCTCATGAAGACAACCCTTGAGTGAATCGATTGGTAAACCTCGAAGAGCGACAACCCCCTCCTCCTCTCCCTCCCAATTGTTGAATTGAGACATGATAGATAATATTTAGAGAGTGGTTGTGACTCATGATTTAACATTCCCCATGTACCCAAAAAAAAAAAACAAAACAAAAAAAAAGAGAAAAAACCACTTAATTGTCTGGTTTTTAGATAATTTCAATCTTAAATTTTGATCAAATCTAATTATATATTATTTAATGAATTAATTCAGTGAATTTCACTCAAAATAATGAGGACACTGAATTTCATTAAAAGTGAGAGGCAATAATGTAACCTATGGATAGTCCAGTAGGTTTCTTTTGCACAATAAGTAGGTCTGGATCTGTCCACTAAAACATGGACACTCTAGTTGATGGCCCATAAGATCATGGACCGGCCATGGGTTCAATGGACAGGCCAGTGGTTTGTTTTGTTCAATGAGTAGATCTGGGCCGGATGGTCGGCCCAATTTGGATGCACCAATGGTATTAGCATAGATCAAAGAGTAAAGTTAGACCGACAAAAAAATATGATCAAAAGCCAAAACAAAAATTAAAAGATTTGACTTTACCACAATGATATTGTTAGTCCCCGAGAGCCGGCCCAATCACTAGGCCTATAAAGACTGAGTAGATTTAAGCTTATTAATTTAAGCCTATGAAATTAGAAGGCCATAAAATTTATTTTTTTAAAAAAAAATAAATAAATAACAGTACAATTAAGGCTACTAAAAATTAAATCTTAACCTCCAAAAAAAATCTAAGTTCAAACTTACCAACATAATTTTTTAATCATTCTCCCCCTTCCCCCCTCCTCTCTCTCTCCTCCTCAAGTTGAATTATGACAACAAAAGTTTAAATACAAAAAATTTATTAATTTTTTTTTGCATTAAATTTATTATTACAAAGAAAATCTCATTTATTATTTTTACTTTAAGTTCAAAAATGTTTTAGGCCGTCCTTAGTTGATCTCACTTTTACACATTTAAAATCCAAAAGTTTTTCATTATAATACGGCGCAACATTTAGCCTCTATCTTTTTTTTTTTTTTTTTTATCAATTTTTTGATCAGTTTAACATTACTCTACTGCGAATTGAGTTTTTTTTTTTTTTTTTGGGTTTTGCTCCATCTTAGTTCTCGTGGATGTAGTGTTTTGGATTGCTGATTTTAGGCCTAAAAGCAAAACAAAGAAATATTCAACACCATATTTATTATCATGCTTTGAGGAGCTTCTTCCAAGTTGCCTTAAAAAGATGGCCCATATCAGATACACTGCTTTGTGAGTCCAACTAATGACCAAGGTTTGCATCTGACTTGCCATAGTTGTCCAGGAATATATTTCAACATCAGACTATGAGGCGGGCATCATTCAAATAATTGGCCCAATCAAACACAACTCGGTCAAGCTGTATCCGATTTGGTATCTTTCATTCTAATATATTTTCTCTTTTTAGTGTAAATCACGTGTCTCACTTGACTCAAAGTTGACTTAGAAATGCTTCACTTTCAATATAAACTAGTTGTCCAAGCTATTATGATTGACCACAACTTCTTGTCCAACACTTTTTCGTAATACGGTAATATAGCCTCAATATCTTATTGTGTCTAATTTAATTGTGTTTGACATTTGCGGCCGGACAGTTTATTCTAATTTCCATTCAACCATTCAAGTGTATCATGTCATGACAAAACATCAAACAATCCAAAACAAGCTTAGGAAAATTGAAAAAAAAATTAAATTTATATAAAAGATTTCGGTTAAATTTGAAAAGTCATGAGGAAAACTAGAATTTTGAAAATTAATGCTTAGAAAAGTAGCCGTATCATATGATGTTGATATGTTGATTGAATTAGAGAATGACTGGAATTAGGACAAAATAAATAGAATTTTTGGGTTCTTTAATTTGATTTTTAACTATTAAAAAGGACGTGACAGCAGCGACCATGATGATGGTGGTTGAGTTTGTCCAAAAAGTCTAGTAAGTTGGTTTTACTTGTATCATGCGGTAGTCCCACTTGTGCGCGCAACTTGAACTTTTGGATTATATCAATTTCAACAATCAAATTGTTCCTCATTTTGACTTTATCCTTTTATAATGAATCTTTTCTTGTTCATCTTTTGTATATAAGACTATAGCAAAGCACGTTTTAAGCTGTTGAATATATGCACATCTTTTGATTGCATGCGTGTTAAAAAATGAAGAATGATTTGACAGTGATGGACAAAAGACCAAGTGGGAAGACTCATGCTTGTATCTGTTTGATTGAGGATGACTACGGTATTGATGTCGGTATCATATCAAAAATTATTATATTTAAAAGAGTCTAAGTTACAACTAAAAATAATCTAAGTTACAGCTCTAAAGTTATAATCAATTCTATATACCCTATCTGTGATTGTATAGCCACTTTTGAGCTATATGTCAAAGTCAAAAAATGATACAAAGAAAAGTAGTATAAGGATTATGATTATCCTAACATGATTTTTTTCCATACTTGAGAATATACTTGCCTTCTACTAATGCATTAAGCAGACTAAATGTTCTACATAAAACAAAACTTATATCAGTAGGATTCATTGGACCCTTTAAGATCAGTAGGGTCCCATTAAGAATCCCCTTTTAAGTGTTCTGATGTCTTTAGATATGAGGATTGAGTAACATTTGACAACTAGACCATTCCATGTACCAGACAGTCATATAATATCCAAGTCCATGTGGCATAACAACTACTCTGTTAGTCAACTAGAGTTATTAAACCAGAATTATAGCTACTCTCCATAACATAACCCAGAACCCAAAAGCTACAAGTTTTGAACGTGGCACAATATCCTATACAAGGACAGATTTGTAATCAGTCTAAGAGGTTTATTCGGCTTCCCAAATCTCCATACCTACAATTTCCCTCCACAAGTAAGGCATGTGCATGATACCCTTATATGAAGGCAAGGTGCGACTTTATCTTCGCATGTTTTCTATTTAGTAATTTGAGTAAAACTACTGCCCAGGAACAAGAAAATGTGGTGAAGTATTCAATTTTCCTCACTGAAAGTGACCCCATTCTGCGTAACATTTTTTCTAGTTTTTTTTTTTTTGATCAGAACATTTTTTCTAGTTAGATGCATTAAATTGCAATGTTCACACTCCCCTAATTTTGCAATTTAAATTTAGTAATACATGCGTTTAAGCCTAATTGACCATTGGGCCTTCACATATGAGGAAGTAATTATTGATAATTTCGTAAGTATCCTGAAGGGGGTAACACCCTTAATGACACGTGTAATTACATTAAATGATCCCACATGAGGTTGATAAGACCAATCACGTGACAAAGACATCATTAGACTTAATCATCTGACCGAAGCCTAGCTATTCAAAGAGCTAAGGAAAAATGAGAAGAGGCCGGTCCTTATCGTGACCGAGCTATTTCAAACAATAAACGTTGAGCTAAATATATGCCTATAATTCAGGTATTCTGGTCAAACGAATGGGCATGATCGTAGGCTCAATAAAAGGAACTGTTGGAGAGATCTCAGTAACTTCCTGAATAGAGTAGCTAGATTGGAGAAAATTATGGAAACCCTAACGAAGCAAAATTCTATAAAACGCATGAAGAGCCAAGGTGAAAGATACGCTGATCTCTCATTGTCTTCTTGCAATTGACTCAGTTCCATTACTAACTTAAGCATTGAAGTGCTTTCAATTGAAACACTTCGATCTTGAGCAGTTTGTTCGTTTTACAGGAAGGAAAAACTAGAAGATCAAGTTCAGAACTCACTTTTACCAAAAATATCAATCCTTTATTCCTGTAGGAGGTAATCTCATATTTTACCTCTTACATTTTGGCGTCGTTTGTGGGAAGATTTTTACCAATTGAAACAAAAAAACAATGTCAAGAATGAAAAGTGCCATCGGTTCGCCTATAGGCAGTTTGGCCTTGGAAGATTCCGATCCAAACTATAGAGTGTCACTTCCATCCGACAATGACATTAGGATGGATATGGGCAGAAGCCCAGCCAAACCTTGTGAGGATGACGAGTTATCCTCAGCAAGTTTCAGACCGTCAAAGCACCAAAATCAATCAAATGTCAACCGTGGCGAATCCCTCCGTGCCGAGGGGGAGAACCACTCTTTGGCAAAGTTGGTTTAGT